TTGATAGGTTTATTATTAGAGTGGCCAAACTCCAATCTACTCACTTTTCGTTCTTGGCTGTACACATTTGCGTGGCGCAGGCTCACGAATAAAATCTTAAGATATATTTCTTCTTTTGAGAAAACTTAAATAACTTCACTCCTTCGTCGTCTTAAACTAAAACACTACCACTGCACTTTGTTTGCTTGTATTTTCTCTCGCTCGCGCGCGCTACGTTCATATGTGGCGGCGGATGAATTTAAGTCCTATGTGAACTGATATATTCCCTCACAATATCAGCGTAATGCTGATGTCTAAGTTTTCTCAAAGCAACGAGGAGAAGATGAAGGTATAACGCTGACACGGCGGAAAGAGGAAACATTTTTCAAATCACATTTTTAGTAGCTGTATTAGCAGAAGTTTGATCACCAGTTATCTTTTTTGTAAAAAAGACATTATTTAAAAAGGTGCATTCGTTTTACATTGCATGCCACGTTTACCTCCATCTATGCCCACAAAAAAGTCAGTTTTTAAAACTGACAAAGAAAAAAAAATGATATTTCTTCACATAAACATTTAAAATATTTAAACAAGTAATTATTTGAAAGTGGCATTTGATGCCAAATTTCTTACACATGCAGAATAACGAAACTTTGGGGGGAGGGGGTGAGAGATTAGCTATCCTTGTTTTCTACTCCTATCGCGCTACATGGTAGATTAACTTGATACCCAAATATTCTTAATTATTACCTCTTTTTGTGAGTGCAGAACTATTTCAATTGTGACAACTTACCGCTCCTTTTTTGACTACAGTTCTTACTAAGTAAACTACTTGAAATTACATGCGTTTTGGAGTGGGTTGGACGAATTTTCAAACTGAAGACATTTCAGTGGTACGAGCGGTGAAAAGAGTTTTCATTTCCAAGAAAATGATACGTGCTGATCGAGACAAAGGTTTGCATTTCTCGTTCACTTTTGCTCTTTTTCGTTCCTTTTGGTAGACTTGTTTTTACTACCAAGAGCACGGATATCATTCTCTCTTGCAAAAACCGATTCTCATTGTAGGTTACGAATAAATATTTCTGCAACAAGTAAGAAAAGTCGACCAAATGTATATATCAACAGCTTTGAAAATCACCGTACGTTTTCTCCATTACAAAACGCTTGTTATGAAAACTAGACAGCTTTTGTTCAGCACGTGCTTATCAGGAGCTAATTACGCCTAATCACGTGCTTATCATGTGCCTATATTTCGGATACCATCGATGATAACCGCGTCATTAATGTTGTAAATTCTTAAATGGGAGTCAGGTTTAATTCAACTATCTAAAAATAAAATTCTGCACGGAAAATTGACTGTAGTGCAGCCAAACAACAAAAACAAAACAAACGCCTATTACCCATATATTTCTCCGAAAAACTAGCCATTTTTCCTGACTGTCAAACAAATTAACAAAAACTGTAGACATATTACGCGATCAAATGAATCAGTGGCATCTACTGAGAAAATCTTACACACACTAGGTATAATTCTATCTACAATTTAATTGACGACGTCCCCAGATCAATAATTAATATAACGATTGTAGACGCCTTTGGCTGAACTCGTTACCTTGACGGGTTGACTGAAACACTCAAACCTCGCGGAGGTGACTTGACATAGATTCCTGTCTTCAAACAAGCTTTCAATAACATTTTCACTTTTGAATGGCGTGGTATTGATACTGAGGATCAACATTTCCATCACTAAGAAGTCTGAAAAAGTAATCGAACGATATGGCACCTCAAAATAATACGCATACTTTAGGGTTTTTTCATCCTCGGAGACCCAGGGGCAGATAGTGGGGGCGAGGGAAAGTCTACACAGGCGGAAAATATGTCACAAAAGAAAAGTAAAGAGCGCTTTTCTTCGTGCCTTATTTTCCCGCCCGTTTAGACTTTCCCTCGCCCTCACTAACTGCCCCTGGGTCTCCAAGGATGGGGTTTTTTCTGAAATTAAAAGAAGTTTAGAATCGAGGGAGAATTATCCTATAAAAACCTCACAGTGGATATCATGTACCTCAAGGAAAAGAAATATACTGTAGGTCAAAAATAAAATTTGTGGTAATGTGTTGTAATGTTTTTGTTGTTGTTTGTTTCCCCTTATTAAAAATAACACGCGCTCCAAGCGTTCGGGGATGTGAGAAGTCTGGAAACGAGATCGTATTTTTAATCGGCCCAGTCCCACTCTTCTCTCATCCGATCTCATCTCCGAAGCGAATACTTTCGCAGTCAATGAAACGGTTTATGGAGGATTAATTGAACTTCGTAACGAACTCTAATTTACGGTACGTACTTTTACTTCTCTAGTGACCAACGGCAATCTGGAACAAAATGAAACAATGAAATTTATCAGTTAAGCTTATTATTCTTATGCAACTTGCGCCAGGTTGCATCTCCCTGCAGTTGCACGCCTCGAGAAAGGCTTGCTGACTAAGCGTAAGCTTAACTTGTACTGCCCACGTCAATTTGTTAGAGGTTAACTTTCCCAAAATGTTTTCATTTCCACTTCCTTTGCCTGAACAACACCCGAAAACTTAAGAAATCCTCACTTTTGAGGGACGTGTTATGTTGTGGAGCGCTGCTTGCTGTAGTAGTTCATGGGCCCGCCGTCTTCATAAACACACGTGTTTGTTTAGAATATTGGCGAATCATGTAACTCAGGGTTTCGCTCCCAGAATTACGGCTTCTAATGTATAAAATAAATAGTTGTGTAGGGTTCATAAAGTAGTGTATAAAGCGACTTCATTTTCACTTGTGGTTAAGTGGCGAGAAACGTCAGGCAACTTGCAAAAACCATGATGAAGGCGAATACGCCAAATTTATACTAGGTTTAATACACTGTGTGATACAATCCTTCATGCTCTCCTAATGCAAATAATGTCGTTGTTATGCACGCAAGTGTTTTTAGCATAATTCTGTATGGAAAGCTGGAAGGTTTCTACCAGATAGCCTGCATAACAGGCACTTTATGAGCCAAGCGAGGCGAACGCGGCATTTTGCGCGAAGCGCGAAACGAGTGCGAGGCGCGAGACGAGGGGAGGAGAAAAATAAAGCGCCTGTTACCAGTCCATTGTTCTGGCTTTTTTGTGAAAATTTTGCAGTTGTGTGATATGCAGGGAGAATGACAACATTTTTATTTAATTCAGTGGACTTTAATTTGTATTTGATGGCTTTATAGGGGTTAAAGTGGCTGAAGAATTAATTTTTATCAGGGCTTTATTATTCAATGGGACATTATTGTCACGTTTTACAACATTTTATTCTTTTGTTCCCAGCATAAGCAACTTATTTCCCACAGTGAAAGAATAGATATGACACCCTTGTTTGTGGTCAATGCAAGTGAAAAAACAAAAAAGTAAGCTGCCAGTCCAGGGATATTTTATTTAAAAAACGCCATCCATAAAGAAATTCTAAGCAGAGTAGCCGGCCGATACTAACCAAGTAGGCAGTGATTTTCATCGGCAGCCGGCTACTTTTGACAACCCTGCTAACCACAGTTGTTAATAACAATGAAATTTTGCAGAGTCCTATGGTAATACAGGGGATATAACTAACAATTCCAGTGTTGGGTTTATATTGTATCTTAATCCAAGGCTGATGTTGACTTGGGCCGAAAGCATCTACTGTTAAAAGGTTTATACAGTAGTTTATGATGTACATGTATGAACAGAATTTCACTTCTCATAATTATACAAACTTGGGTAACATTTACACTAGATAATTTTAAAAACAAATTGATTAATGTTTAATCTTATTTATATTTGAAATACTTACAATGATGCACTCCTCCGTCAGAACTGTCAAAATAAATTGAATGATAAGTCAGATGGTTAAATAATTTTATTTTTGGTCTCAATATTCTTCCTTTCTTGAATGTTTATTTGTCATGTTTTAAATAGGTATTTGAATAAAAAAATTCCTGACTTGTAATTCACTCCAAATTGAACTTTTGCTGTTTATTTTTTCAGGACGAGAGGAGGCATCTCTTTACACTAAGGTTTGTATGATTTTAAGTTATGACAAAAATTCAAAATAATCAGAGTTTTATTTATTGTGTCAGTTACAATGATGTTATCACTCTGTAATGAAGGAAGTATTTAATATCTTTAAAATTAATATAGAATAGTGACAGCAATGACACAAAGATAACACCAATACTGTGGGATTCCTGCATTTTCCTCAGAAGTTGTTGTGAATTTACATTTTGTTTTAGATGGAACTTTGGGAACAAAAGGGGATTCTTCAATGCTTAAATTTTTAGTTTTTCGTAATTTTGTTAGTAAAGTTGTTACTGCCTTTCTCTTTATCCCAACATTGTTTACTGATACTGACTATTAGCTTTGATGAAAACTGAAGAAAAGTTCCGTTAGAGACTGTGAGCATTTCCCCAACGGCTGTCTTGTTTGAATGCAGAGGTGCCATCAAGTGTTATTCAGAGAGAAAAATCTGACGATTTTGGTTAGAGGATTAGAATTGTCTAGGGGTGGGAAGTGGAATAGGAGTGTACCTAAAATTAGCCTGTAGACAAACTTCTCAGTTAGTAACTATGAAAGGTGAAGGGTCAGTTTATTGCTGTCATGTTCACTCAGCTGAAGGGGAAATGGAAATTCCTCAGTGATTATTGCTAGTATGCTTGTTCAAAATAGGCTAAGCTCAGACTTTCTCAGATTAATTTTTGCACTTGCCTAGAAACCGATCTAGTATAATGTGAACAGCTGTGACAAAAAATTAATCAGCCCAAAGCTTATAAGATGCAAAGTATATCACTTTCAAAAGTGATGAACACAAGGCTAATCCAGTGTAGTTTTTAAACTTTAACAAACATTGTGGGTATTGTGTGAATGTAGCCTTATGACTTTCCCCCTAGATTTTGCTGGCCACATGCTCAAGATGACAACTCCATGATTGAACATTAAAACCCAACAACTTCAGTACAAGAAGTTACTGGGATTGCTCACAGTCTACTCCAATAACAAAATCTACTGAAAAGGGTATTGACTTACCGCCATGGTATGACCAAAGCCTGTTGGCTGCGGACTGGTGGCTGTATATCCCAAACCATCAGCTGCAGTGTTAGCAGCAGAGTTAATGTAACTGCTAACGTGTAGATCCTGGACTGGTCCTGGACTTGTTGCAGCTGTGGCAAATGCTCTTGAAACTGGAGAGGGTGGGGGTGGACCAAACTGCTGGTGGTAATTCATTCCTCCTATAAAAAGTAATGATTCATAAATAAAATGTGACTTCGTACACAAGAAGGAATGTTCCATCTGATTAGAAAACATTGAGTTAAGGAGTCTAACTGGGTTCAAAGGGTTAGGAAAAACTTGTAAACCCTGTAATTCTCACCTGAGTAATCTGCGTAATCCTGCATGGCATGAGCAACTTGGGGAATGTCTGGTGGTCTGTTGTGCCGTGGGCCCTGAGTATTTATATTGGCATAATCAGCATAGTACTGGCTACCACCTGCTGAGCGCCGCTGATCACCAGGGTTCACAAAACCAGTATGATATCCAGGAAAGCCTTCAAACAACAAACACAGCAATTCAGTTTTTGGATTGAGAGTGAAATGGTCAATGTAGATGAGACTGATCTGCCTCTGGTATTCTTGACAGATACAGCTGGTCAAAATGATCAAATTTTCAACTTGTTTGTGGAGTCTTGCTTTCACAGACCAGTTGCATGCCCTCTTAGTTGTTAGTGGATAATGGTGTGATACTTATGCCCTGTCTTTGGTGAACAAGTAACAACTACAAATATGTATCTTGAAAAAACCTCGCAAAACTCTGTGTTGCACAGAGTTAAGCCCTGCTATTTGAGGTTAGATTCTGGCTCGGTGACCAGCCACAAACATCCTGTCAGGAGGGCTCCTACACTTTTTTCTCTTGACTTTTTCCTTTTTGTTTTATTGTCCAGTTTGATTCTTAAATGGATATTGCAAAGCACAATTTTTTTGGAAAGAAGTAGAGCCACCTTAAAGTGCCTTCATTTGTCATGAAAGGGAAAAAAATAACCAGATTTTCTTTCACACATTAATACAAGAATTGCAGCTCTTACCCAGCATCCCAGGGAAGTTTCCCATAAATCCACGCCCCTTGCCTCTAACTTGCCTGTTTTGTACCGCAAACGCGGCCGCAGCTGCTGCTTGGCTATAACCTGCTTAATTAAGGCAAATAGAAGTAATAAGCAACAAGATGCTGTCAAACTTTGCATATTGCCGTGAGGCCTGAAACGTTGCTTCTGTGAGTGGTGTATGGGAACAAAACATTGTGACTGGATTGTGGAATTGAAATTCAATAAGGAAATGATTATCACAGTTTACATGAATAACTGTATATTGTTTCGAGGATTCCGCACAAGTTTTGCAACGGACCAACACTAATCTTGACCGAAATGTTAATGTGAAACAAACAATATCATGTAAAATATTATGATTTTCCTGACCGAAGCCAATTGTTTTGCATTTTTGCTTGCTCGGGCCATCGTTGCAAATTATGCGAGGCACCAAAATGAACTAAGTCATCATTGGACCTCTCTGATTGTGAACTAAGCCGTGAACCACTTATATGAGCAGTTTGCATCTTATATAAGCTGTGGCCAGAGTAATCTGCACCTTATTTTCTCTTGTATAAATGGCGCTATTGTTTCTGCTGTTTGTCTTTAAGTTTTTACATGAAGCTCATGATATTGAGCAATTCAAGCAAGGGCCTCCACTGAAATGAATTTTTAACCTCTCATCAGATGGTGCTCATTTATTAATGTTCAATTAGTTAACAGCAAAGATGTTTTGGGATTTTACCTGCAAAAGGAAAGTTACCAAACCCAGGGCCAAAACCAGATGGAGGAAAACCACGAGGGAATCCGGGAGCAAAGGGATACACTGTGAATAAAATGTAAGTGGATAAGTGTCAAATTTCCTCTTTGTACCATTAATAATTGATGCATTTATTCTAAACCTACGAAATAAGACCATCAGAATTAAGGTGGATCAGGGTTAGAAATAAATGATGATAACAATCTATCCAGTTGTCTTGGCCACTGCACTAAGCACTGCAGCCTTAGTCATTATATTGGTTTTCCAAATGTATGTAAGTAAGTACACTGTAAGTAACTAAGAAAAAATGTATAGAGTGTTTTCACTCATGTGGCCAGCGTCTATGCAAATTTATGAGAACAAAAGAAATAGTTTACATAAGAAATGAGTTCAACTCCCACAGGATTTGTTTGGAACACCAACATGGCCGCCATGACATCATGTGAAAATGCTCTATAGATTTAGCTAGGGCATAAGTGAAGCTCTTGTTGGAACTTTTAAGAAGTGTCTTTATGGGGTGAAGTTTTCTGATCCTGAGATCACTTTAATGCCATAATTCGTCAAAACATGTCACCTCAGGTTGTACACCTGAGCCTGCAATACAGTCACATGACACTGGTCAGTAGATACCCTATTTTGACAGTTGTCAATTATTTATCATAACGTGGATGCCTAATACCAAGTTAAACACAATTTTTTTATGCCAAAATTTTTTGTGCTTTGCTGCATACTCTTGACACATGTGAGAGCTCTGCTACTATTGGAACCAATAAAAACTTAAGCGTTTTTTCATTTGGTTAAGTTTTGGACCTGTCAGGGCACTACTCCTAACTTGATTCGCAAACTATTCATGCCTTTTAGTCTTGGAATTGTTCCTCATAACTTTGAACCATTGGGTAGTGATTTAATTTGAAGCACACACTCACAAAAAAATATCTGAGTACCTCTTATGGGTTTCACACTCCAAAACTTATCTCATTTCTCAACAAGAACTGATTAAGAGCAACTTACAGAATCCACGTCCTGCCATGCCTCTTCCTGCCCTACCACGTCCACCCTGCAAGCTTTGCATCACTTCTCTGGGTTGTGCCTTCTTAACCTCTGTCTGTGATAGTAAAAACATTGATCATTATCAGTAAGAATATTTATTAAATATTTTAGTGGGCTTGTGACAATGATGTTTGACAGTTTCAGCTTTGGTGCTCTTCATTATTTTTTTCTCCTTTTCTTGAACATTTTTGTTCAAACTGTCTTTTGTTGCATAGGTTTTAAAATGGATATGGGCAACAAAATACAGGTGGTTGCCAAAGTTTTAGATCTAGCTTAGTTGGATGTCAGTGCAGCCCCTGTTGTTTCCTTCTATATCTTATGAAAATGCTATGAAATAGCAGTATGACAAATGTAGTTGTTCAGGAGTGTCTTTTGTGAATACCACTGACTCTCCAACTTGTAAATTTTCTACATGGATCATGGATGTCAATATCAAAGAATATAACGTACCTTTTTGTCATTTATAACATGAAACTGTTCCTCACAAGCACTATCAGCCTCATCTTCGTTTTGAAATGTTACAAAACCAAAACCTTCAGACAAATATTAATGCAGTCCTGTTAGTTTTTTTTCACTTAACGTTACTAACCTGTGGTGCAGACAGATGTGTCATTCAACATAGTTTGCCTGCATAGCAGCTTTCAAAACACTGTTACACTGACAAAGAGGAGTCTGTTAGTGCTAAGATGAGCCTTGTATCAGATGAACAATAGATGCTGTCAAGCGAGTCCTATATCCCTATAAAATCCTATTAAATCCTATTTTTTTGAGACCTTTCCTATAAAGTCCTATAAATTGAGCAAATTCCTATATTTTCCTATATACAATTCAGGAAACTTTGATGTTGCATGGATATGTTTGCTACACCTCAAAATGCAAAATATTCTTTAAACTAAAATTCAGTCTTCCATTCTTCTTTCTTCTGAAGGAGTTAATCGTGAAGGCTGTAATTTATGGATGCTTTACCTGATCAAAAAGAATATGAGTGCATCCAGAACGGTGACTTTTGTTCACATTGGCTTTTATTTGGCCTAGTTTCTGTAATTCTAATACTTCCATTTCTGTATTCACAGTGTCAGGACTTAGTTTTAGACTTGAACTTGTCGATATTGTCAACCATTGTTGAATTGAAAAGAACTTAAGATTGCTATTGTTTTTTATCTTGTATGCAGAAGAGTTCATTGTTACTGAGATGATGTTATGATCCCAGACAAAAAAAAAACAGTGCTATTTTGACTTGCTGAAGTAAATGATGGACTTACTATAAGTTTGAAAGATATCTTTGAAACCGAAAAAGAGTCTTTGTTTTGTTGGCCCTACAATCTTGGCAACACATTAAAATATCTAGTAAATAAAGAAGCCTGTGTTGCGCCTATAAGTGACTACCAGATTAGTCCACTGGGCTCACACTTCCAATAGCTGGGGAATAGCCCCTGCCAACAAGTTTTGTTTGTTCTCCTTTCCATTAAAAAATTATCCACAGCTATCTGATTTAAAACGTGTCATGTAATATATCAAACATGAGATGCAGTATTTCATCACCAGATGAAACACCGAGAAGAGAGTTGAAAATACGACGCGCAGCGGAGTATTTTTGACGAACTTCGAGGTGTTTCATCTGGTGATGAAACACTGTGTCGAATGTTTGATATTTCTTCTCAAACAAAATAATTTTTGAAGGAGAAATTAAGGATGCAAAAATGAGCAGTTTTTCATCAGATATCCAAACACTCATTAAACATTAATTTCCTTTGAATTTTCTTTATGAATTATTAATGAGTTTGAGAAGAATATTTGAAAAAACCTGATACCTCTATGTCTGTTAGTAACTTTGTCAAACATTAGCTTGGATTCTGTTACCTAGGGCAAAAGAATACGAGATTAATTAAAGATACTGGAATTTGTTAGAGAACTAATTTATATGGATGTCAAGAACGTTTCAGAAACTCTTAAAGTACATGTCAGTCATTCATTGGAAATATCCATGATTATTTAGATAGAAATCCTACATGCAGGGTAGGCAGTGCACACAGTTAGAGTGATTTTTGTATGACCGTGAAAAATGGTTTCGGTAAGTGTTCGTTATTTGTTTGATCAGCCAATAGATGAACAGATCAAAACACAGCCTCTTCGTTTTACTGCCAAAGAAAACCCTAATATGGAGAAGGGATTGTTCGATTGGCCAATCATGTTGCAGTTCGACATCAAAGCAAAGTATCGGTTGATTTCTAGAAAGTTCTAGAGCATGGAGTTTTTTCACCTGAGCGTTCACTTAACCAACCAAAAGCCACGCGCGTTTGTATCCTTTCGATTAACCAATCAAATTGCTCCTTTTCCATTTGTTTGTTTTTTCTGTTTTGTTTGTGTGTTTTCATTTCAAGGTCATATGAAAATTGCTCTATATGAAAGAGCTGCAATCCTGGAGGTCCATAACATGTGCAAGATATGTAAAGGGTGTTTGACTCATTCCATCAGCACTGTCCAGGGGGGAGGGGGGTTAACTTGAATTGCATTTTCCTAACACAAAAGGCAAAGTGTCCCAAACATTTTGACCAGGAGTTTAGATCAGTTTTGTGCCATCAAGTGTATTAGGAGGCCCTGTCTAGCAGTGTAACTTAAGACAAGTAATGTGGTCAAAAATCTTAGCCTGAGATTTGAATCGTAACATGTATGCAAAAACGTGTCAGTGTTAATGTGTATGTACCATCTGAAAGCCACACTCTTTGGTTCTGTAAGAGGTCCCAAACTTTGACCCTATGATATTCACAGTCCCCACCATTGACATTTTGGGCCAAAACTAAGATGTCCTGGGAGCCTAGAGGCAAAAGAGGGTTTCTAGGAGCCATTGGATGCTTTGAGAGTACAGCTTTATTTCGAAAAAATCTTATCGCAAGAAACAAGTCTTTAAAAGTATTGTTTTCAAAATAATATTGTTGCTTTTTCTTTGTATCTAGTACTTACGGTGCCAAATTTTTTAAAGTAGTTTGTCAAATCGTCTTCTGTGGTTGAAGCAGATACACCACCAACAAAAATCTTTTTTGTTCTCGTTACCATCTGCAAAAAAACAGTTTTAAAAAGGTTATGTAGGTACTCTCACTTAAAGTAGATTTCTATTTCAGGGATTGGTTTCGCCTTGTTATTTGATCTCTGGGCTTAGCTGGTCAAAGGGGTGACAATCGCAGCTCGAAGTAATGGCCCCTTGCCAGCATTACAAGCATCATCATCATCTCTTTTCTGGTCGGGATGTGCTTAAGGCAATTAGCATGGTGAGCAGTTTACTAGTTTAAGTTTAAGTTTAATAATACTTTGTCATGCTAATACAAGTAAGTAAATAATATTACAAAAAATACAAAAAGTACATGACTGGGGGAAACTAAATTCCCATACAAAGAATATTCTCCAATATTAAACATACTAAAAATTAAGAAGTAAAATTTAAAATGCGGCCCAAAGCTAACCTAATTAAATTGCATACTAAAATTGACAATAAAATTAAGAAGTTAAATTAAAATAATGCCCAAAGCTATCCTAATTAAATTGCATACTTGTCACTCACGAGTTACACCTGATTTAAAATTGACACAAGTGATCCAATAGATAGGACTTAAAACTGCTTAATGAAGGTATGTGCATAATGACCGATGGAGTACTATTCCAGTCTGTTATATAGCGATTGGAAAAAGTAATTTGTACGTGTCTTCTTAGGTCTTATCTTAAAATTATGGTTCCTACGTGTTTTTGCTAATACATTAAAATAAAAAAACATATGAGGATCTATGTCAAGTGAAGGCCATTTCAGTACCCCAAGTCTCTCCTGATATTCTTTCTCTGATCCGCAAATAACTCAAGTGGCTCGCCTCTGTATTGACTCTATACTTTTGATGTGCTTCACGAAATACGGATTCGAGACCTGACAACCATATTCCAAAACTGGACACACTAAAGTCTTATATGCTATCGAGACTCCTTCAAAATTGTTTGGACCAAAGGTTCGCCTTATCAAACCTAGATCCTTATTAGCTTCAGCACAGATATAGTTTGTATGGTAATCGCAAGACAGGGAAGACTCCAGCCAGACATCAACGTGCTTGTGGTGATCTACTGCTGATAAGGGTTTGTCAGACAACCAGTACTCATGATGATATGGATCCTTGGATCTCGATAGGTGTAGGACCTTGGACTTTTTGGACATCAGAGTAACAAGCCAGGAGTTACACCAGTCACAGGCACTTCGGAGGTCAGTTAATAATAATAATAATTATATATTTTTAAAATAATAATAATTAATAATAATGAACTCTTTATTGATTACTAAATAAAGACACATATACTGTATCTAATGTTACAGGAAGCTATGTAAAATGGAGAAAAACTAGAGAATGGAAGAAAATAAGACAAGAAATATAAATAAACTACAAAAGGAGTTACATCAAAAAACTGAATCTTTTTATAAAAATGTATTCTTAAGAAGCTATGAATGTCTCTTGGACCTATTCTTAATCAACATAGGAGAAGATAATAATAATAATGATGGTGATAATGATGGTGATGATGAAAACATGGACACGGTAGCTGTTATTGTAGGGGCCCTTGGAAGTGTTACTAAGAAACTTGGACAGTTGATGGAATAACTGGGGATTAGGGTTAGAATTTGACTGTTACAGAAAACTATGCTATTAGGAACGGCCAGGATCCTGAGAAGGGTGCGTGACTTCTGAGTGCCAGTAGAGTGTCTGCAAGGAACCCCTAGTCCTTTGTTTTGACTCGCTCCCTTGGAAACTTTCTTTGTGTTTTTGAATGTGTAATATTGTAAATCTCGCTGCGTATAGGCAATTTACAAATGCTGCTTGAGATTGAATTATTCAAAAATGAAGAAAAAGGAAAGAAAATAAAAAAAAAACCAAAATTGCATCAGTCTGGGCTATCCCAATTCCTATTTCTACAACAAAAGATGTAATATGTTGCTCTAATGGACCAAATGAACCGATGAATCCTTGTCCAGAGTGGATTCATCAGTTCGTTTGATCTACCATGATCCGAGTGATCATGGATCACTGAATCCTGATCTCAATCATCCCAAAGGAATGCACCCATTAATAATAATAATAATAACAATGATAATAATACTGATAATAATAATAATAACTATCAGTGTGATTGATGTTATTCACTCTTGTTAGCTAAGAACAACATGTATTTCTTCATTTCTGCATTATGATGATAGATAGATAGATAGTGTATTAAAAATCATTAGTTTGTATTCCCCTTTGTGAAATGCAGTAGCTTTATATTTTATGCAGAACCTTTAAACAGTTGACAGATTTTCAATAAAAATTGCATGTATTGAAATTTGGATGTTGGGTATTTATTTTTAAACAAAGAATTTATGTTGCACAATAATATGACAAATTTGTGAATAATTCGTGGCAAATTTCATCCAATAATAGTAGCACATTACTATTCAAAACTGTTGTTTAATATTGCTTGGTAACTGCAATATTTAGAGAATTAACACCTGAAATGACAGAGGTTGTGTGAGTGTAATCCCCATTGGACAAGCCCAGAGGCAACTGTTTGGAGCACCGGCTGCTAAAATACTGGACCCTGAGCAAAATAGTCTGTATAAAAATAAGTTAACCAATGGCTGAAATTTGTATTCAGTATTTAAAACGTGTTTGATTCTAATCTTGAGAATGAAGCTGAAACAAATCCTGGGGCCAGTAACTTACTTACAGTTAATGTTGGCCAAAACATTTGTACCAAATGAATCTACATAAGCGCTACAACAAAGAAAATGATCCTTGCAGAATTATAAGAAGTTAAAAAATGATTGCTAGTTTTCTTAGAAATGCTTCCTCGTGAGAGACATGTGATGTTTTTAAATTGCCTTGAAATTTATCGGTCTATTTTTAGTAATGATCTGTCCCTTTTTAGAAGGGCAAAGTCGCCAGTCCAAAGTTGACTTCTGTATTTACATGTTGATAAATGAATTTTTAAATGGGTAAAACATGACAAGAACTTTTATGGTATTATTCACCAATCTTCTCACACTATTCAAAGTTAGACTTGCAAACCTCAAGACCATAAAAATGTTGAGGTATAAAAATAAGCTTGTTTTGATTTAGAGGTCTGATGCACATAGCAAAATTATTTCATTGTACAACTACACAGTACTGTTTACAAGTGCCTGGAAACTTCTTAAACACATCACAGAAATATATTGAATATTGATTTTAAAGGCAGTTTTCTCGAGTTAAAGCTCCTCTTCATAGCTGCTGCTTGTCAAAGAGACATTCATTCTTGGTCGTTTTGGAATTGTCAATCTTGCACAGTGACAGTGGCCCATTATTCTAGACTTATTAATGAAATATGAGATAAAAAATGTCTTTTATTTTACTTAGGAACATGTCATGCAGCTGTTGATCAAACGTGAACTGTTTACGTGTCTGCATAAGAACTGCTTCAGAACTGAAACTAGTGAAATTACTGTATTTCTGATGCAAACGGAATCTACTGTTATTGTGTTTATAACCCTGCTAGCAATTTGTTTTACAAGTATTCTATTAACAAGGCATTTATTCACCTGCCCTCTAATATAAAAACAGTGACGTTGAAGTAAGGTTTAATTCCCTTCTGATCTCGTAAATAACTCGACTGCCGTTGAGAAAAGACAGAGGCATTCTCTTTGTAACGCTTTCTTCTTTAATTTTGCAGCAAGACTTATGATATTGCATAAGCCAAAATTTATTAGGGATACAAAAGATCCAAATCTTCCTTGAACCTTGCCTACAGGATCATCCTCCCGGTCTGTCTCAAACTGTAGTAAAATTCTACCTTTATAAAACTCCGACATTTGCTAAGATTTTATACAAATATATAATGTATAGATATAAAAAACAGAGCATTCCAATATGTCTCGTGACTAATTATGAATATTCATCCTGCAATTGTTTTTTAAATTGACGGCTACAGCAGAATACTAATGAAAAAGACTTTCCAAGTAATTTGCAGCTTTCTAGCTCTCTTGATCCGCGGGCCCACGGGGTTCACTTTCGCTCAGAAATCGATACTTCCTTGTTGGGTACAATGTACGTTTCACAGTCAGGAAGTTGGGTGTAGATGTAAATTCTGTTAACTTTCGCCTCAAACAGGTGTGAAGAGGACTGTCGAAGGCACGGCAAAAGCAAAGCAGTCGTCGAATTTGGGTCACAAAATGATCAACTTGCTTTTCTATCGCTTTTAGAGGGCTAAACGGACGCGAGATTCTACGCTGTAATAGAAACTTGCTCGTCTACCCTTGTGTGACACCGGGGTCACATCTCGACTGATGATCGCTTTCATACGACTGGAGCAATATTATTTCAATTCCCGGGGTAAAAACAAAACCAGGATTGCGGCGATACGTTATCAAATACGGATAACCGAAGTTTAAAAATGATTTCTCGCAATTAAAATAAAAAAAGGGACAGGAAAATTCAGTCGTAGACGAAATTTCGGGTGGCAAGACCTTAAACTGTGTTTTCTATTGAATTTCACCTCTCCAACCTGCAGTGTAGGTGCTGAAGACGTGATTTGGCATCAAGCAATAATTTATAGTATCCTCTGAAGCGATACAAAAAGGAAACACCTTTAAAGTTGCTTGTTTTGACCCGAGACAAGTACACCCGTCTCTCGCGGAAGCGAGCGACGGTACGGAATGATCATAGAGAAGGCACAGCCGCTAAAAGTTGTTTGTTTAACATGAAATAAATTGCGAAACCGGTTTACTGTATGTTGGTATGTTAAAATACTCTGGTTTGTACATGAGACGCTCAGGGTAAAGCGTTACAAGGCTTATGACTTTGTTTAGTCATCCGGCAGTACAAAGTAAGCAAAACTCTATGCTTAAGGGGAGCGTGTCGGTACTGCTACAAGTCAGTTCTTTTGTCGCCCACATTAAAATGAAGTAGAAGAACCTATAATTATTCAATTTTACTGAGAAAAAGTCAGTCAAGAAACATTCAGCCTTACACAAAAAGTTGTTGGTCGAAAACGTCGTTTTGGGAAAACCCCTAAAGTATCGCGTGTATGCACGGATATTCCGCTCACCTCTCAAGCGTTTGCTCCATAGGAGGCTAGCGTGTGTAGCTGCTTCCTTCGCTCGTTGAATTTGTTTTAGAGTGGGCGTTCTGACGAGACAAACAACTTGGAGCAGCAATTAACCCAACAATGTTGTTTTGAGCTGCTAGCATTGAATCTCTGCAGATGTCAAATATTGTGGTCGAATTGGGGTTTTTGGACCTTAAGACTTCGCCCCCTTTGGCTTGAAACGGAACCTTGCTTCACTCGCGCAAGATGCTAAATTTTCTTTTGGTGCGGCCTTGAAATGGCTAACGCTTTGCAAATTACACTCAAAATACTCGCCTTAACAGCGTGAAGCCCTGATACGTTACTTGAGGTCTCGACACTTGAAGGGCATCTTTTAAAATAGGCTGGTTCGTTCAAATCGAAAGTCGCTTTGGCGTTGTTGTCAAGCAAGCAGTTTGCAAATTCCTGATCTTTTGATCGAGCTGCAGAACACGACATGATGTTCAACACTCTTGCACGCTAAATTTAACGCAATCAAATGAGGCAGTTCTTACCTTCGGTTGAGGTCTTTTCGGGACTGCAATTTTAGGATCTATCTGCATTGAATGATAAGAAAAATGTACAAGGTGTCAGCCTGCAGTTGGTTAAGCTATCTCTCAGTCGCGGCCAGTAGCCTATGAGTACACTTCTTAACATCACAATAGCTTCGTCGTGTGAATTAAATTTCCCTTAGACACGAAAGTTGCGTTAAGCGAAAAAACACCTCTAGTGCAGGGAAAATCCTCTGCACTGAACACTAAAAATTATTTTGGAACCTTACCAAAATAATGCAATCGATGGTAGGAGCGTTCTCTGTGACCACATCATTAGAGGCACCGCCAGACGCGTGCAGATGAAGCGTGAAAATTAATCTTGATCGAATCCATTTCTATGCAGCGCTGCGCTAGAAAATAGTGACAAAATTCTCGCTACTAACCTTTTTGTGGTCGAGTTCGTGTGGACCTGCTTTAAGAACCGAGTCTACCGAGGCTGGATCCTCGAAAGTCACAAATCCAAAGCCCCTGGAACAAGAATACAAAAACAGAAAGTGCTACCTCTATTATGTTGCATATTGCATATTTTTCAGACATGCCATTTACAAAACATAGATGATGGCGCTCGGCGTCTAAGGTGGAGAATAAGAAGCCCCGGTCGGTAGCTGTCTTGTCATTTACCTTGACTGTTTGGTGTTTGGATCCCTCATGACTAAGCACTCCTTCAAGTCCCCATACTTGCTAAAGTACGCCTGCAGTCCCTCTAAAACAGACGGCAAAATTATACCGTTACGGAATTAACCACAAGCGATTGTTTCAAACGTGACTCGTCTCAGTTCATTTGTGGCCGCAAAAAAACACGACTCGATTGCTGAATTTAGGGGAACGATCTGTTCAGCGATAGCACTAGCGTGCACTGTTATTAAAACTGAAACAGCAAAATACTTTACCTGCGGTCGTTTCCCAACTCAAGCCTCCGACGAACATCTTCCTGTTAGGAAGGGGAGAACAACGTACAAAAGCCATTTGAAAATTTATGCCCACAAGAAATTTGCTAACAGGTCTAGTCACACCATCATTTCTTGCGAGCGAAACAAGAATCATCTCGCTGAAATTCGGCTTTTCGCAGCGAAAAACTTACCCTGGATCGTTCTGGAGGTCGACTTTGGAGGCTCCAGAGGGCTGTTGGCTATCCGCCTCCATTTTTCCTACAACTACAAACTAAACAAGACAGGCCGACCGCCACTACGGACACGTGGATATTATATTCGGATTGGTTCGTGATGGGTGGTTATTTGGCGCCATTTGGAACTGGCACCTATGCTCTTGATTGATTGTGAGCTGTGGTCGTCCGTGATTGGTCCACGAAAATTAGTCTCGCGACGCCGTTAGAAGCCATCATAGAAGTGACACATGTTTGAAGGTGTCCCGCCTTCCCTCTTTGTCCCTCACCATGCCTGTTGGCTCACTGAGCCTTTCATTGGACCGCGCAGATGATACTCTCCAAAAACTGCCAATCAATTTGACAGCTGATTCGCTTCCAAAGACGAATAAATTAACGCAACAGACTAAGGATTTGGCTCTTTCTCTTGCAAATTTTTCGTTTTGAGACTCGATCGAGCGAAGCACAACAACAAAGCCTGCAATTATTCGAGCCTCTCCATGTTGGCTGCATTCTAGAGCACATGACTAAAGTTGGCCCATTCTGGAGTTTGGCACCTGCGCATATGTAGCCGAAAATTAAAATTGTAAAATCTGAATTTACATGTTCATGAGGGGAACAGAATTTTAAGAATTTTTTGTTTACTTTGTATCGGATAATTCGACACGAAAGGTGATCTTGGATGCGAATACTGAATTTCATTTTGTTTGGAAAACCTAAACTGAGAGAGACCAATTTAAATTTACGAAACAGGTACCAAGGCTATCGATCCCATATTTGTCTTAACGTAATATATTGTTGTGAAATTTATTTTATTCCATTTGAATAGTATAGTGTTTTGAATTGTGAGAAAAACTGAGAAAATGCAATTGTTGTTACTTCGACGTACAAACATGTAACGTCAACTTCGACACTCCACCATATATTGCACGCCAAACATTCTCCTGTGACAAGAGCTTTATGTCACACAACCTTAAAACAGCATTACAAATTCAAACAACGTGGTTCGCCGAGTAAAATGGAACCACCAGGCGTGTTATTGGAAAGAAGCAGAGATGGCCGTTGGTTTGTAAAACTAACAGACAGGAGGCCAAAAAGCAGGGCTAAGTTATAAGTCGATGCTCGTGACACTTCGAAAGCCTTTTATCTCCATCACGCCCACTTCCTGTCGCACGCGCGTACCCTGATTATTTTCACCCAGAGTCATGCAATGTACGTTCTCACTTAGAGTTAGCGAATAAAATCCTTCAAGTGTGACGCTATTGGGCTTTCCTTTCCTGTGGTGCTGCTGTTTGTTATTTCATATTCCCAAGGGTGAATTTTTTGGAATTTTGTACGATTTTAAAACCCTTTCACAGATATAATACATCCGCGTGTTTTAACTTCCGAGTCAGTAGATGAAATTCTATAGTGTGATAATTATAAAGAAACCTATCCAGCTAGCTACGGTTTCACACGGTACTATTTGTTTGTATCGTATTTTACATGACATTTCGGCTCTCTCTTTTTTATCAGCGTCCTAGTAGTGTTTACCACCCCCGGGAAATAAATCAATATAATTTTGGCGCTGTTTAGAATTGGGAGATAAAGGGTTAACTATGTTTTTCTTGTGGCACCTTAAAAGGCCTGCTTATAAAAACTGGCAGATTTATGCCACGAGAAGCGTCTTTTAAAACGCGTCTCTTTTTTCAAAGTGACCATTAAAGAAAAAGCGTTTAGTTGATTCCTGAAAGTGTTAGGTCATATTTTCGCTACCGGGGAAATCTACGTATCATTCTATTTAATCATTAAACTGTCACCACGCGTTGTGTGTAAAGAACCAAGAACGATTAACAACGGCTTTGTCCGTTCCTGAGTGAAGCTACATGGTTCTAGCTTGCTAGATTTTCGTCGGGTGCCTTGACTTACGAGAAAACCATTGTTCTTCTTCCTTTTTAATATGTTGTTTGTTTTGAACCGCTGTATTGTAGTGACAATAGTGTATCATTAGTATCAGCTTTCAGTTGCCTTTCTGAGAAAAATATAAGCAACCAGACTGATAAGCGACAGTAATATTGAAACTGCGCTCCTTAACTGGATTGTTGTTCTTTAAAAAGAGAGAAAAGGGCGGGCAAAGGGTTAATTTAGCCACGAACGGCTATAAACAAGGCTATAAACAAAGCTCTTGACCGGTGGGAAGGCGGCAGACTTTACTGATAGGCCAATCCGGCATGGACTGGACATATCAGTTTGTGGTTAACAGATTCTTAGGACTGAATCAGTGTGAGTTCCTACGATGGAATTAAGCGAATACTCTTTGTGGATTCTTTTCAATGTCACTTCTTGTTTTTTTTGGACGGTTTTAAAGGAGGAATGTGCAATTCTACATGTACACACACGACACGAGGCGATTAGTGTTGGTACAAGTACAGATGATATCAGCCGTTCCTGTTTTTATCGGCAGCGTTTTCGAAAAGGAATTCTCATGACAGGCCACCAGTCCTGTGTAATAGTTGGCAAGCCTTTGGTTTCCGAAGCCTTTTAACAGAGCCAGTACTTTTTCATTGAGTTCATGTAGTCCAGCCTGCTTTTATCAGTTTAGTAAATGGCTAAAATCTTGTGTTTTGGAAAGAGAGATCAATGGGGAATATTGAGCCGTGTTTATTGTGTGCGACACTTGCTGTTCACTGTGCTGTACATGGTTTAGTATTTTTACCGACCTGTAGGAAACTTTTACGGGTTTCAACATTCTTTAGTGGGCAGTTTTCACCTGAACTAAAATTTGGTCTGTTTCGGTAAGGTTAAAAGCCTTGCCTCATTAAACGGCTGTTCCACGTTGCTCTGTTACAGTCCCGAGGTCTGATTTAAGTTGTCCAGATTACATTTCTGTTAAAGAAAGGCCTCGTTGGTCAAATATCAGTTAAGTGCATCTAACAGTTTTACAGTCAGTGGACCATGTCACCTCCATAGTGTTAACGCTCGCGGAACAGTGTTTTAATAATTCTTCAACACCAACATAGTCTTTTCGATGTGCATGTTTCGTGCTGATCACTGAAGGTATTAAAACACCCCTTTATTAGGAAGGCTACATCCGACTAAGTAACTAAATTGAAGCTCTAGCGATGAAAAGGAAAACTGAATTGCATGTGATTTGCTTGCCATAAAAAAAACAACAAAAAACTAAAGTGGCCAAAAAATGCAAAGTAAACACCAGTGATAAATTTCTTCATGCATTGTAGGAGAAATTAAACACACCCTCAAGTCTGTCCTGCATGGTTGTACTTCATTGTTAGGTATTATTTTTGTTCTACCGATGTTTAACATGTAGGGTATATTTCTCTACCATGGTATGCTTTGTTATGCACTGTGAAGATGCCACGATTCAGGACTCTACTTTTGTACATCTTGCCTTGGAGTATGAGTATCAGGAGACTTCAGTGTATATTGCCGATCTTGTTTTAAGAGTGTTGAGGCTGAAAATCCTGCAAAGTAAACGTGGATGAGTTTCTTGCATCATCGCATTCCTGATTTGCATTTGAATCGAGATGGTATTTGGGTCTGCTACTTCTCCATCGTGTTATACGGCGTGTTTTAGAAAGGCTAGCATTTGGTTCTTCATTTCGTTATCGTGTTGCAAAAAGGACTGAGGAAGAGGTATACTGGTGTGCACGCCGACTGTTGAGGCCTCTTGAACTAACCGGAAGTCATCTTAATGTGAAATCTCTAATGAAGTGGTAATTCCCACGGTTTTCACTCAAGCGTTCTTTCTACAGACTCTCCATAGACAGTACTGACGACAGTAACTCCAGTAATCGAAGAGGAAACAATCCTTCTGTTCGCTCATTAGTAATGTTTGGTACAGTTTTCTGCATTTCGCTGCAAAGCAGCAACGTCAAGTGATTAAATTTAAGGTTAATTTACAGAGACTATGTAGACACGACGGGTAATTTTTCTCAAACTTAAGACCGTCCCAAATTATTCAACTCTGGACACTTTAGTCACAGAAGATAAGTATTCAACGACTTGTAGCGTTTCAAAGACTGAATCAAAAGAAGAACAAGTGAATTTTAATTCATTTTCCTATGCTTGGCCATCCGCCATGTTGTTTGTTGAACCTTAGGTATCGTTTCCCCCGGGCGCGGCTAGTTGGAACCCGTCAGTCACGCCTAGTGATCTCTACTGCTTGCCCTTAGCCCCTAGCTCCTTTTATGATTTAGAATCTTTGTTTATTCACAGTCGTAGACAGATATTTTTGTGGAACAAAGCTAGCGGTGTCGTCATTTATAAGGAGCCTTTGTTTGGAGCCGCATTGTCATCATGTGTTGTGGCTCTAAGAAGACAATGTACTTGTTCACTTTCTGCTCTGAGCTTTTTTCGAAGGATTTTGGGTCGCCTTGTGTCAGCAGATACGAAATAGGTATTCTGTGAATGTGTCAGTTATCTTCAAACCGCGATTGAACTGAAAAGTTAGCTGGTTATGGATATGAGGCATTGCAGACGATAGTATTCATAACGACAAACCAGTCTGCGGTCGAACCTTGACAGGTCAGCCAATATATGTTTGGGCCTTTTTCCTTGCCTTGGTTTAAAATCCAAGACCTTCAAGATAACGGAAGAAAACGTTGTTGAGGTGCTATGGGTATGAAAAAGAAAAAGATGGAAATCACACGGTCTAGTAACTCAGTGATGTCAAGGCGTTGTCACTAGGAAGTGGTTTGGCCTGAACCCTGCGTGCGATAGCATCACTTTTGTTCATAAGATTCCATTATACGCGGCACCAAGCAATGTAATCATCACGGAAAATCTTTACGTACAGGGGAAAGAATAAATAACAGATCAAGCGGCGAAGGAATGTAGCTTGTTTACTTTCAATGACGAACCTTTTACCTACGGCCTCCTGTTTTGTCTAGTAGTCAGTGGATAAAAACAATGGCAGCGTCTTGTCGGTGTTATGCATTGACCTTAAAATGTTGTTTTATGTAAGGATATCTTTTATGATCTAGTGTTATTGCGTTTGTAGTATTAAAGACTGATGAAAAGAAACCGTTCGTGTTGTGCCTGT